GGGAGGGAGGGAGGGAGGGAGGAAGAAGAATGTTTGTTGAAGTTAAAGATTATTCCAGCAGTTTCTTTTTAGGTCCCAGTATCATTCACCAAAATTGATCACATTCATCTGTATGTGATAAAATTGTCTTTGTAAATTGTGAATCATCTGATTTCAGTTTTGTCTGTTACACACTGATAAAATTTTCCTTTTGATAGTGGCTATTAATTATGTGAGGTTTTCACTGTGATGTATCTGTAATAGCATTGTAATATATCTGTAATAAACAGCCAATATTTAGTTTTTGTAAGGAAGAAGTGATGTAAATGTCGTAATCTTTTTCTAATGACATTTTGTTTCACTGTCACATTATGAGTGTATTAAATATTCTTTATGAAATTACAGGAGAATAAGAATTTCTTTTAAGTCTCACTCTCTCTCAAAAGTGACCTGTACTCATATTTAAACTCATACAATTCTAATCTTATTTATTTGAGGGGCTAGGAGTGTAGCTAAGTGGTAAGGCACTTACCTAGTGTGGGAAGACCCGGGGTCAGTTTGCACTGCAAAACAAAAGTAGAAAAACAACAGATTGAATTTTACAAATTATTGTATCTTGTAATTTTTTTTCACTGAGTATCATATATGTTTCGCAGTATCCTGTTTATTCTTCAAAAGAATCTTGTTAAAATGGCTGCATATTACTTCATAAGTACCAGTCTTGAGTGATTGGAATTTGAAGTGTCACAATGGATTTCCATTCTGAAGAGTCATTCTAGGATTTATGTACTTGTTCATACATTGCTGTTCTCTCTCATTTCCTTTAGGCTCAGTATTCTCACCATGTGATCCAGGAGATTCTAGGACATCTTGATGCTCGTAAGAAAGATTCCCCACGGGTTCGAGCGGGTATTATTCAGGTTCTGTTAGAGGCTGTTGCCATTGCTGCTAAAGGTTCCATAGGTGAGTGCTGCCACAACAGGAAAAGGATGGGCCAGGGATTTAGCTCATTGGTTGTATGGCCTACCTTGCAAGCGCAAGGACCAGAGTTCAATGCCCGGTACCAAAAAAAAAAGAGAGAGAGACAACAAAACAGGAAAAGAACACATTACTCTACTTCAGATCTATTTTATAGCCATGTATGAAATAATCTTTTAAAAATATTTCTGTGCATTTTCATGTGTACTATGATTTCTCTTGAAAGTCTGGGCTCATGTGATTATTCTCATGTATTTAATGCATAGTAAAGCATTTACTTTTTTTTTTTCTTTTATTGAGTTTATTGGCACATTTTAGGTATACAGTACAATTACATTCATTATTGGGATCTTGTACCTTTACATGACAGGTGGTCTTGGTTCTCATTTGTTCCCCTTATCCCTGCACTCCGTTTACCCCCTCCTCCCCTCCCCATTTACAAACACTTTATTTCCATTTTTTCATTTTCTCATATTTTTTCCCTTATTACCTTTCCCCTACCCTTCCCACTTTCCCTACACACCTTTAGCCCTTTTCTTCCTCTTTCACAATGTCAGTTATGTCATTGGGATCTCATGTACTTACTATTACAGTTTATTCACACCAGAGAAACTATTCGGTATTTACACATGTGTGACTTACTTATTTCACTTAGGAGTATATCCTCAATATGTATCCATTTTCCTACGAATGAGTCTAATTTCTCATTCTTTATGACTGAGTAGTATTCCATTTTATAAAAAAACCACAGTCTTCTTTACCCAGTCTCCGACTGATGGGCAAATCGGCTGTTTCCAAGTTTTAGGTATTACAAACTGTGCCACTATAAACATGGGTGTGCATGTATCACTCTGGTATGATTCTTTTAATTCTTTTGGAAAGATACCCAACAGAGGGATGGCAGGGTCAAATGGAACCTCTAGTCCCAGCTCTTTGAGGTATCTCCATATTGATTTCCATAGTGGTTGCACCAGTCTGCACTCCCAGCAGCAATGGAGAAGGGTTCCTTTCTCCCCACAATCCCACCAACATTTGTTATGGTTGATTTCTTGATAGCAGCCATTCTTTCTGGGATGAGGTGGAATCTCAGTGTTGTTTTCATCTGCATCTCTCGAATGACCAGTGATTTGGAACATTTTTTCAAATATTTACTTGCTGCTTGTACTTGTTTGTCTGAGAAATGTCTGTTCATTTCAGATGCCCATTTTTGAATCGGGTCTTTATATTTAGGCGGGGGCTGATTGTTTATATGTTCTAGATAAGAGTCCTTTGTCTGAGGAGCAGCTGGTAAAAATTTTTTCCCACATTGTAGGTTGTCTCTTAGTTCTTTTGATGGTTTCTTTTGCAGTGCAGAAGCTTTTTAATGAGATGAGATCCCAGTTGTTGATTCTTTCTGCTAGTTCCTGTGCTACTACAATTTGTTCATAAAGTCTTTTCCTATTTCAATGTCTTTAAGAGTTCTGCCTAACTTATGTTCCATCAACTTTAGTGTTTCTGTTTTAATATTTAGATCTTTAATCCACTTGGATTTTAATTTAGTGCGTGGTGAAAGATAAGGGTCTAGTTATAATCTTTTAGATCCAGTTTTTTCCAACACCATTTATTAAAGAGACTATCTTTCCTCCACTGAGGATGGTCAGCTCCTTTGTCAAAGATGAGGTAGCTGAGTACATTTGGAGTTGTTTTTGTATCTTCCAGTCTGTTCCACTGATCCCCAGGTCTGTTTCTTTGCCAGTATCATGCTGTTTTTATCACAGTAGCTTTGTAGTATAGTTTCAAATTGGGAATTTGTATACCCGCTGCCATGTGTGTCTGTTGCCTAGGATGGCTTTTGCTATTCTAAATCTCTTATGGTTCCAAATGAATTTTTGGATTCCTTTTTCTAGTTCTGTGAAATATAGTGTTGGAATTTCAATTGGCATTGCATGGAATCTGTATAGCAGTTTTGATAGTATGGCCATTTTCACTATTTTGATTCTTCCTACCCAGGAGCAGGGGGTATCTTTCCATTTTCTTATATTCTCTTCGATCTCTTTTTTCAGAGTGCTGTAGTTTTCAACATAGAGGTCTTTTGCTTCTTTTGTTAGATTGATTCCTAGATACTTCATTTTTTGGGTGCTATGTGAAAGGAATTGTTTCCCTAATTTCTCATTCAGTGAGTCTGTTATTTGTGTACAAGAAGGCTATTGATTTTTGGGTGTTGACCTTGTATCCAGCTACTCTGCTAAAATTGTCAATTAAGTCTAGAAGTCATTTGGTGGAGTTTTTTGGGTCTGCAATGTAGAGTATCATATTGTCAGCAAATAATGACATTTAACTTCTTCCTTTCCTATCTTGTTGCTTTAATTTCTTTCTCTTGTCTAATCACTGTGGCTAATGTTTCCAGAACTATATTGAAAAGGAGTGGTGATTGTGGGCATCCTTGTCTTGTTCCTGATTTTAATGTGAGGGTTTTCAATTTTTGGCCATTTAATATAATGTTGGCTGTTGGTTTTTCATAGATAACCTTTATTAAGTTGAGATAGAGAACATCTATTCCATCTATATTCATTAAGGAGTTTGGCCTGTAGTTCTATTTTTTAGTTGTGTCTTTCCCTGGTTTGGGAATCCAAGTGATACTTGCTTCCAGGAATGAATTTGGAAGTATTGCTTCCCTATCAATTTCATTGAAAAGTTTGAAGAGTAAAGGCAGTAGTTCTTCTCTAAATGTCTTATAAAATCCAGCAGTGAATCCATCAGGACCTGGGCTTTTCTTTGTTCGTAAATTTTTAATTATATTTTCAATTTCACTGACTGTAATTGTGGTGTTTAAAATGTTTTTATCTTTGTTCAACTTTGGTAATTCATCTGCATTTATTCTGTGTTTTCCATTTTGTTAGAGTACAGGTTCTCGTATTGAGTATCCTCTGGATTTCTGTTGGATCTGTTGTGACTTCTCTTATTTCATTCCTAATTGCATGGATCTGAGCCTTTTCTTTCCTTTTTTTGATAAGGTTAGCTAAGGGTTTATCTATTTTATTTGTTATTTCAAAAAACCAACTCTTCGATTCATTTATTTTTTGTATCATTTTCTTAGCTTCCATTGCATTGATTTCTGCTCTAATCTTTATAATTCCTCTCTTTTTTGAGCTTTGGGATTTTATTGCTCTTGTTTTTCTAGGAGTCTAAGATTCGTCATTACGTTTTTATTTGAGCTCGCTCTGTTTTCCTAGTGTGTGCATTAAATGCTATGAATTTTCCATGTAGAACTGCTTTCATTGTGTCCCATAGATTCCTGTATGTTGGATTGGCATTTTCATTTATTTGTAAAATCTGTCTGATTTCTTCTTTAATTTCCTCTGTGATCCATCAATTGTTCAGGAGAGTGCTGTTCAATTTCCATGTGTTTGTGAAGTTCCTACGGTTTCTTACTCTGTTGATCTCCAGCTTGATTGAACTATGATCTGATCATATACAGGGGATAACTGATTCTTTTTCATTTATTCAGACCTGTTTTTTGAGCTAGTATGTGATCTATCTTGGAGAATGACCCATGTGCAGCCAAAAAGAATGTATATTCTGATTTTGTGGGGTGGAACACTCTATACCCGTCCATGACGTCCATGCGTTCAAAATCTTGGTTCAGTTCTAGTATTTCTTTATTGATTTTTTGCCTAGATGATCTGTCTGTGACGGTGGGATATTTAGATCCCCCACTACAATTGTATTAGTGCTTATTTGGTTTTTCATGTTACTTAATATTTGTTTTATATAGTTGGGGGCATTAATATTTGGTGCATAGATGTTTACGGTTGTCATCTCTACCTCTTGAATTGTTCCCTTTACAAGGATGTATTCGACTTCTTTGTCTCTCTTAATGACTTTTAGTTTGAAATTTGCTTTGTCTGCAAATAAGATTGCTACCTCTGCTTTTTTATGGGCTCCTATCGCATAAAGAATTGTTTTCCATCCTTTTACTTTCAGTCTATGGGCTTCTTTTTGCACTAGGTGTATTTCTTTATACAACATATTGTTGGATTTTTCTTCTTAATCCATTCTGCCAGTCTGTTTCTCTTGATTGGTGAATTGAGGTCACTGACATTGATGCTTATAACTGATATGTACTGACTTCTTATTGTCACGTTATTGGCCTTTTGTTGACTCTTTTTACTTTTTCGCCTTCTTTTAGTTTCTTGCCTTGCTTATTTGATTTGGTCTCTTGTGCCTCATCATGTTGTGACTTTCATTGTCTTTTTCTAGGATATTGTTTAGAATTCCTTGTAGTGCTTGTTTGGTGTTCTTGAAGTTTCTCAGGTTTTCTTTGTCATGGAAGTAACTTATTTCCCCATGCATTTTGAAAGAGAGTTTTGCAGGATACATCAGTCTAGGTTGGAGGTTGTTTTCTTTTAGGACTTGAAATTCCTCACTCCAGGCTGTCCTTCACCTGAGGGTTTGTGTTGAAAAGTCTGCTGTGATTCTGATGGGCTTTCCTTTGCATGTGATTCGTTTCTTTTCTCTTACTGCTTGTAGTATTTTGTTCTTCTGTTGGATTTCTGGGATCTTATTTGTTATAGGTGTAGATTTTTTTTGATCATGGCTAGTTGGAGTCCTATATGCCTCACTTACCTCTATATCTAATTCTTCCCTTCTGTTTGGGAAGTTTTCTGTCATTAATTCTGTGAACAGCTTTTTTAAGTCATTTGTATTTTCTCCTGCTACTTCATGGATTCCTATCAGTCTTATGTTATTCTTCTTTGAATCATCTAGGAGTTGTTGGATCGATTTCTCATGATCCCTTCCTGTTTCTAAGAGACCTCTTTTTTCATGGTCACTGACTGCAATCCTATCTTCTATCTGAGATTCTATCTTCTCATTCTTTTATTTTGTTATGAACACTTTCAATAGAGTTTTTAATCTCCTGGATTTCTATTTAAATCTGTTTTATGGATTCCATTTCTTTACTCTGTTGGGCCTTCATTGTTTCCATTTCTGTCTCATGCTGGGCCTACATGGCTTCTATCATGGTCCTCAGCTCATCTATTTTTTTCTCAGTTTCTGTTCTAGAGTCTTAAATTAAGACTTCCATTTTGCTCACCATCTCTATGGTTATCTGGGAAATCGTTTCTCTTTTGAATTTTTCTAGAGCCTGATTGATCTGTTTTGTTACTTCCTGTGCTGTGGTTTCAGGGTGTCCTGCTGGTTCACTATCAGATTTTTCATCCTCATTTGCCCTACTGTTTGCCATTGGGGAACTGGAAGTCTGGCTTTGTGTCTTGCTTAAGTGTTTTCTCATTTTTATTTTTGTTGTCGGGTTGTCCCTGGTTTAATTTCTGAGTTATTACTTAAATCTTCCTGATGTAGTTGCGCTTTAGCTTTTGAGTCTCTAATGACTCATAGACATTCTCATTTTCATAATATCAGAGTAAACAACTCATTAAATCAATCTCAATCCTTTATCCCAATTGATACAATCAACAGCACACTAGGATCAAGCACAACTTGCAAATTGACCATTTGTGATAGTCATTAATCTATCATCTTTAAACCATGTGAATTAAATTAAAATCAAGAAGCAGCCCAAAATATGTTTGCAGTGAATAAATTTTTCAATATAGCATCATTACCATTTAGGATTGGGGCTTAGACAGAGTTAGGATGAGAGGAGAAGATAAGTGAAAGAGTTGGAGAAGGTTTCAAGTGAAGCCAGAGGACATAGAATGACCATACAATCTTTAGGAAACTATTAAATTCAAAAGGGATAGACAGAGTGCATAAGGGCAAGAATATATCCCCTTAACTGTAATAGGGGCTCACTTTCTCTTGAGACTATTGACCCATGAGTGAGGTAAAAATGACAGAATAAACGTAAAGAAAAAAGAAAAAATGATAAAAGTAGAAGTCTGAGTTAGGGCAGGAGCAGGAACAGAAAGGGAGATGAGGGATAATATGTTGGAGCAAGAGACTGAGTTGGAGAAAGAGGACAGAAAAAAGAATTTGCAGAGTGGAATGAGGAAAAGAAAGAAAAAAAATGAATTTTAAGGGCCTCTTTCAGACTATATCTCTGCTGTCATAATATACCACGTGCACAGCCATGTGTAGAACCAAGTCCCCTGATCTCAGCTAGCCAATGGCAAATCCCCGCGACTTAGACTGACCTCAGGCCACAAGGCCCAGATTGAGTTCTCCGACCTGCAGTGTTGAATTCCACACAGTTCTATTACAGGTTTCCCCCGCCCTTTCTTTAAAGATGTTCAAAGTTGGGAGCTCAGAAAAATACCCTTTATGACCACCCATGCCTCTGCAGAGTGGGTCTAAGGACTGGCCCAATCCGGAGGTCTGAGAGGGTGTGGGGATGTTTGCAGAGGTGTCCGTGCGGCTACCTTCCTTGCTGGAGTTGGTGGTGGAGCAGGCAGGGGAGGGCAAGGCTACCTGGTTCCGTGGAATTGGCCCAAGCAGGCCCGAGGGAGAGCAGATCTTAGAGTGGCCTTCCAAATCTCTCCTTCCTCGCTGGGGCTCAAAGCATTTTCTTTTAAATCATTCTCTTTTCTAATGAAGATTTTGTGGATATCATTTACATATTGAACATTAGAATACACATAAAAAAGTGATCCAAGTGGAATATATTAACTCCAAAGTCTGAACCATTTTCAGTATTTTCATGGCCTCACCAGTGGGAAATTAATTCCATGATTGACAACATATGATGGCCACAGTCAAAATGCAAGGCCACTAAAATTATATAAAAGTGTGTGTGTGTGTGTGTGTGTATAAGACAAGAATCTTAGAGTTGGTTTTCATCCCTTAGTTATCTCATTTCACACACACACTCAAATGCAAAACTGTTGTAAAATCCAAAATATTTCTGGTCCCAAGCATTTTAGATAACAGATACTCAGCCTGTAATTCACTTGCAGTTAGACAACTTCACTTTGTTCTTTAATACAAAGCAGATTTCGGTCACATATGAGAAACGAGTGAGAGCAGAAAACAGAAGGAAAGTAGATTACCATGAGGAGAGTATATTATGTAGCCCATTTTTGCAAAATGTGTGCTATTAATTAGGAAAAAGAGAAATGACTTTAAAGAAGCACTGCAGCCCAATTGTAGAAGTTGTACAAGTGACAGTTTAAAGTCTTACATAATCTTTATCAAAGATGGGATATAAGATAATCACCTGGCAGCAAGTGTAGAGCTTGTTAGAAATAAACTACTGTCACTGCTGGTGGGAAGGTAAGAGCTTGGGATAGCAGCATGGGAATGAGAATGTGAAGTCTGTGGGCCGTGGTGATGACAGTTGTAGAGGTAAGCAGGAGAGGGGACAGATTGTAGATCTTAGCACTGTATTTCTTCTCCATGTGATTCAAGAAATGGAAAGATCCATAGTAGAAATAGACAAGCTAGGAGAATTGTGGTTTCTTTGTTTCACCATCAAAGTGAAAAACTGTTAGCTAATGAAATATTGTTTCAGTGTTAAATAAGGATGAACATTCTAGATATTGATCTCCCATTATTTATTTGACATCTTATCTAAAAATATGAAAGCAAGTTATTGAGTTGGCTAGTTATTTGAAATGTGAATTAAAATACTGATAATATATTGAATCATTCCACTTGTCAATGTCTAATGTGTGCAAGGTACTGTTTGCTAGGTTGTGTTCATTGGAAGAAGCGTTTAACCATAGCTACCTGTGTAGAGAAACTTATGACTGAGCCCTGGCTAACATAGGGCTTGATAAATGTAGCTATAGTAGTATAAACAAGTTATTCATAGAACAAAAATCAGGGAACAAGTCAGTTTATCTGAATTTGATAAATTAATCAGTTTTCTGTCTCACAATTGAAAGAAATTCTTCCTTTAGTCTCAGAAGATACTAAGTAAATCTTCTATGCTACTGAGAACTATATTATAATTTCATGGATTCTGACTCATCAGTCTTAACTATTGTCACAGTCCATATTATTTAGAGTAGACAAGATTAAAAAGGTAAGTTTTGGATAAACCTTATTGGCTTATACTTGTTTTGGGTAGGCTGTTTCAGAGATTGAAGCAGCAAGTTGTTCATAGATGGCCAGTAGGTGATTGTTGACATAACTAGGAGACTTTCTTTTTTATTCATTTATTTTTTTAAAAAAGAATTGACTGATTCATAGATTATTATGTATTTTTGACTTTAGAAAATAATAAATGTGTTGAGATCTGTGAATTACTTTTGAGTATGCACATTACTGGACAATATGTCTGCTGATATGGGTCATCCTTCACAGGGCCCACTGTGCTGGAGGTCTTCAATACCCTACTGAAACATTTGCGCCTCAGTGTTGAATTTGAGGCAAATGATTTGCATGAGGGATCTCTAAGCAGTGTCAGTATAAACACAGGTTCCAAAGACAATGATGAGAAGATTGTGCAGAATGCTATCATCCAAACAATAGGTAAGTACATTTCACTTTTTAAAACTGTCATGTACAGCAGCAAGTTTATAAAGTTCTCACATAAGGTGCTTGACAACAGTGCATTTATCAATGATGAACAATGACTGACACATCTAAAAACTTGATATTGGAAAAAACAAGAATAAAAATGGGACAAAGAATTCTGTATGTCCTTTACCCAGATCTATCTGTTCTTAACATTTTATGCCATTTACTTTTCCATTTGCTCCCTACCTACTCCTACTCTTTGTGTGTGTGTGTGTATCAAATAAACATACATACACACTTAAACATTTTTTTCTTAAACCACTGGATATAATAAGTTGCATACACAATATTGCCCACACAATATTGCCCTTTACCACTGGGCTTTTTGTGTTTTTTTCCACAGAAGAAGTTATTTTTGAGATAGGCCGAGTAAAGTTATCTACCTGAGTAAAATACAACATTGTTAATGTACTTTAGTCAGCCTTCCACATCTCATTTTGTCAGTTGATTCAGTAATATCCTTCACAGCACTTTTTCCTTTGGATCTAGAATCCACTCTAGGATCATATATTGCGTGTAGCTTCAGTATTTCTTTAGTTCTATTACTTTGGAGCATTTCTGTGAAGACACAGGCATTTCTTTTTGTTTTTCTGAGACAGGGTCTCACTATGTAGTTGAGACTGACCTGGAACTCACTATGTAGCCCAGGCTAGTCTCGAACTCACAGTGATCCTCCTGCCTCTGCCTCCCGAGTGCTGGGATTACAGGCATGCACCCCTGTGCTCGGCCGACATAGGCATTTCTTAGGAAAGCTCACCCCTTTTTTGATAATTTTTTTATTAAGGAAATTTTTTGGTTTGGTTTTGTCTGGTGTTTCCTCATAATTATATTCAGCTTAGGCATTTCTGACTGGAATACTGCATAGATGGCATGCTATTTTCAAAGTGGTGCATCCAGCGGTACACAGTGAACATTGCTCCTCATTGCTGATGCTGTGACCATACTCTCAAAGATTGTTCTGTTTGTCCACTATTCAGTCTCAGTCTTTCCCATTGCAAGAAGATAGTCTAAGAAGATAGTCAGTACAGATATTCTTCCTGTAGATTTTGCATTCATTCATAATTCTTGCTTCAACCATTCTTTATTTTTCTTGGTACTGGGGATCAAACTCAAGATGTGCTTATGAGGCAGGCAGTGACACCACTGAGCTAAATCCCCAGCCTTGCTTCAACCATTCTCTGCCATGATGTCTACAAATGATGGTTCAGAAACTTCACTCTTTCCTCAACTACCAGCTAGCACTCAGTGCTCTGCTGTATGGAGGAGGAGCCCCTTTTTCTGCCTTTGCATTATGTGGAAATTTATGGATTTACCTCATTATTATAGGTATATGAGTTCATACTTTTTGGTTATAATTTATTACTGTAGTTATTTTGTACTTATATTTTCCAATATTTGGCCAGTGGGAGCCCAGTTAAGCACTTTCTTTGTGTATATAATATCCAACCTTTTTTTTGAGCACTGTGTTTCTTGGGTAAAATATTTCAAACAAATTTTGCATTTCCTGCTCTTATGTGGAATCAGTTATGTCTTCAAACAGCTGTGCTTCCTGGCAGTGGGAATGGTAGAGACCAAAATCCAAATGCAGATTCTTGCGCTCTGCTATCCTTTATTCTCTCACCCCCACTGCTACCTACCCCAGTGGTCCAAGATACAAAGTGTGAATTGAAGAGCTTCCTTTTAAAAGATAGTCATGAGGCCAGGCATAGTAGCACACACACATGATCTCAGCATTGTGGGGGATCGAGGCAGGAGGATTGCAAATTTGAAACCCAGCCTGGGCAATTTAGTGACTTGGCAAACCCTGTCTCAGAATATTAAAAAATGTAAAAGGCTGGGCTGTAGCTCAGTGTGGAGGCCTTAGGTTCAGTCTCCAGTACGAATAGAATAGAAAATTTTAAAAGCCACTTACAACTGGTTAGGGAAATAAAAATTTAAAGATCAGGTGTTGTAGAATACGTAGAATTATGTTTGGAATTCTAGCACTGGGGAGATAAGAGGATTATAGTTCAAGGCCAGCCTGAACTACAAAGGGGACCCTGTCTCAAAAATAAAAACATACATAAATACATACAATTTAAAGCGTGCAAGCTATTTCTCCACTCTTCCTCTGGCAGTGTTCTTTAAAATGTAGCTACATGACTGCTATAATAATTTCAGTGTCAAATATATTCCTAGGGTTCAATAATTTCTAATCGAATAATTTCCATGAATAATAAATTTATTCTGGACCTCACTTTATCCCTTTCATTTGGATAATTTCCCACTTATGGGCTACTTTTTTATAAGAGGGCTTTGGAATACTTAAGCCCAATTTTTCTTCTCATCTTATTTCTAAAGATTTACAGATATGCTTGTACATCTGCTTTCAATACCTGTTCATTGAACACATGCATACACCAGGTTACCGGGTCCTCTGCTGAGAACTTTGTGATCAATACACATGGCTGAATCTGCTTGGTGTGGCACTCTGTTGCACCTGGTCACGGGCTATTGCACACAGCAGTTGTCCCCCTGATGAGAGAGTCCAAGAGGTGTCTTAGCATATCAGCGAAGATTTGGTAAAGGCCAAACTCACCAGGGATTCTCAATAAAGCTGAGACATTTTAGTTATTTCTTAAAACAATTGCTTCTATGGTGATTCTTACATTCATTTGGATTATTTATGGAATTTTTGTGGTATTCTAAAGTCAGATCAAGTCAGCAAATTTTACTTTCGCAGAATTAGCTTAAATTGCTTTAGTGACCTCTAATTATAGTATACTGTTTCACTCTAGAATACTGTATTTAATGTATTGTTTCTTAAGCATTTCATTGCATAACGTAACAGCGTACTTAAGCAGTTATTTTATGATGTAACACATTCAGAATAACAATGGGAAAAAAAGGTATGGCACAGTGAGTACAGTACCTTTTTAAAAATCGTGCCTCCGAAATCCTTCTCTTTTTTAGAATTTCTGTGTTCTGGTAGTTGTTGAATCATACAGATGTATGTGTGGTTAGCCATGCACAGGACTTGTAGTGTTCGCCCTTTAAGTTTTTTGTTTGTTTTTTGGGGGGGCGGGTACTGGGTGTTGAACTCAGGTCCTTGCCCTTGCAAGGCAGGCCACCGAACCGCTGAGCTAAATCCCCGGCCTCGCCCTTTAAGTTTTAAGACTGTTGGCTGTGTCCTACTTTGTTCTGAAATAATCAAAAACATACTTCTCTACTGTGTTCTCTTTTCTGTGCCTATGAGCATTTTTATTCAACTGTCCAAATGTACAAAAGTTGGTATATAGAGATGAAAAGCTTTTAAGACTACCCAAAGTAGATCAACTTGAAGACTTCCACCCAACTTTAATTTAAAAAAATAAATTGTAAAGTGTGAAATAGTTGCATTTCTTTCCTACTATGATTATTTTCAGCTATTTAAAAGTTTTATTATGTCTAATTAATATGGTGCTCTACCCTGTTGACCATGTACTTGGGAGAGAGAAAAATTAGCTTTCCTGTCTATTGAAATTACCTCAGGATCTTAAAAATGTACTCACACCAGGACATCCATCCCCAGATATTCTGACTTAACTGCTTTGGTGTACATCGTGAACACTCACACTTTCAAAGTTCTACAGGTAATTCTGATATGCCCAAAGATTAGAGGAAACTCTTCGACACCTTTGAAAGGCATGAAGTATGCCTTAAGTTAATGACAAAAGTGTTGTTGAATGCGTGGAGGTGTGATGGAGCTTGTTAACTCTTCAGGCAGTACTGTCATTGGTCAGAATTGCTACTACACACTGCTGTAGTAAACAGAAGTGTGTGCTGCTTTATATCTTAGTGCTAATGACTGACTTGAATAACTTCTTACATCAAATATGTGCTCCTGAAGTGTTACTTAGAATATTATACTTTATGCAGACAAAGTTAAGATTATGAGAATTTTGATTATTACAATATGTTTTTTGTAAGCCTTTTACCTCTAAGCCCAATCACAATGATGAATAGTTTGGTTTTGAATAAATTATTAGGTGTATCAATAGAAGGTGAGGAGTTAAAAAGCCAATATAATCATAAATATTATGAGAATTTTTATTATTACAATATGTTTTTTGTAAATCTTTTACCTCTAAGCCCAATCACAAAGATGAATAGTTTGGTTTTGAATAAATTATTAGGTGTATCAATAGAAGCTGAGGAGTTAAAAAGCCAATATAATCATAAATATTAAAGATAGAGAAAATTTCTGTAATAGTTTTGTTGAATTTTTAAAAAGGAACAAAAAACAACCATAACTTGATATATGACCTTTAGAGAAACGAGAAAGTTTAAAGAGTGAGTAAATGATAAATTTGCAAATATTTTATGGCCAGGAAGTAAACCATTAAAAGATGCATTAGATAATTTTGAAATATTTTCAGAACCCAAGAGTGCATGAGAAAAATTGCAAGTAAGTAAGTTAAATGTTTATTTTTTTTACATCAGGTTGATTATGTGTGTTGAGCTAATTTACAGGTCCAAACTATAAACCTGATTTATAATGACTTTCTAAAGCTTTTGGGTAATCCTGAGATGCCAGAGTATTGATTTGTATAGCAGACAAAATGTGGTCTAGTTACTGACTTCCTTACCAGAACAGTAATTTTAGAACTAAAGTATATGAACAAGACTTTCATCAACAATGCTACTGGAAGTTTTTTTTTTCCTTTTTCTAAAACTTTGATCAACTCAACTTTATATGTAAAAGACTTTCAGATCTTATTATTTTATCTAAATAGTAATCCATTAGACACACATATAATTTTGGAAAGGTGAAATAATAAAGCTTTAGTGTTTTATATAGAGTTTATATTGTTTTACCACGTACTTAAAAGTTTTTGTTAAAAATATAATTTTGTGCCGGGTGTGGTGGTGCATACCCATAATCCCAGCACTTGGGAGGCTGAGTCAGGAGGATTTCTGTGAGTTCGTGGCCAGCCTGGGCTACATAGTGAGTTCCAGGTCAGTCTCAACTACATAGTGAGACCCTGTCTCAAAAAACAAAAAAACAAAAACAAAAAAACAAAAAACAACAACAAAAAAATATATATATATAATTTTGTGTTGTTTAGAAAAATAAACTTTTAATTTTAAAAATTTATCTTAATATTTTTGTAGGATTTTTTGGAAGCAACCTACCAGATTATCAGAGATCAGAAATCATGATGTTCATCATGGGGAAAGTACCTGTTTTTGGAACATCTACTCATACTTTGGATATCAGTCAATTAGGGTATGTTCTTAAACTGTAAATTTAAACTTAATCTTGGATTAATTTGACCTTAAAACTAGAAAATGTTAATTTTTTAAAGCCTTAGTAATAAAAATCCTATGAATGTAGTTATTACTTTTATAGTAGTAGATTGCATTATTATTGACCTAAGAAACATTTCTTTACCTTGGGCATTATATATATGTTTACATATATGGGAGAAAGTTCCAGGTATTTTGTAAACATTTTATTAACTTAATGTCAGCATATCTGAAATGTTGACTTATTCCTAGAATTCTAGAACTGAAGTGATTTTAAAACAACTCTTTGTGTCACTGTTTTTAAAAAATTAATTTGATAATACACTTAAGGTTTAGTTTGTGAATTTTTTTGTCTTGCAAATTTAATAACAAGTGATTACCCTGTACTTCATAAATATGTATCATTTTTGGGTGTTAACCAAAAATTTAAAAAATCATTTAAAGTGTTGAAAATACTACTCTGATTTGATCATTACACAGAACTACATAACTACATACATTTATCAGGTCATCATATTGTACCACATAAGTATGTACAATTAAAATAATAATTTTAAGAAACACCATAAATTGGAGAAAATATCTGGTATAAATATAGCAGATGAATATAATAGCTGTCTAACATATCTATAAACATGTTAGATTGAATAATTAAAAGGGTAACAAGTTTTTTTTTTTTTTTGGTACTGGGGATTGAACTCAAGACTTTGCACTTATGAGGCAGGTTAGCAGAACCATTGATCTAAATCCCTGGCCTTGATTAAAAGAGAGTTAACAAATGGAAAGGCATTATTGATGTATGGGCCAAGAGATATAAATCAAATAAATATAATTTTCTTTTGAAAATTATTTTAATTGTACATATTTATGGTGTACAGTGTTTAATGATGTGTGCAGGGTGTAATGATCAAATCAGAGTAGTTAGCATTTCTGTCACCTTGAACTTTAAAAAATTATTTTTGATTAGCATACAGTTATACATATTTATGATGTAAAGTGTAATATTTCAGTACTAATTTGGCTTTTATAATTGTAGAATCATGATTTAATTTTCATGCCATCACATATATAAATCTGTTTTCTTGAAGAGCCAATAATGAAGTTTTGTTTAAGTTGGATTTCTTTTTACAAACTGTTTTAATTCATATGAGGTTTTCTTTTAATGTATAAATGAGCCATTACTTCAGCTATTATAAAAATAAAATCTATATAGCCACTAAGAGTGAAGTGTTAAAATCAGCAAAAAACACTCTAAGTAAATAAAGTAATACAAATGTTAGTCACAGTTAATAATAGTAGCATCTTATATATTTTAGGGACTTGGGAACCAGGCGGATTCAGATAATGTTGCTGAGATCTTTGCTTATGGTAAGGCATTTCATACAGGTGAAGGGCATACTTAACCTTAAATTATTAAAAAGATTAAAGGAAGAGCTCTTAGACCTTTTCTTACTTAATAAAGTAGAATTATGTAGTTGTTTCTGTGGGTTGTGTACTTTTTCCTTATCTGAGGCTCTTTGCTGTTTATTCCTCACATTAGTAGTTTTGTCTAATCTTCACTGTGATGAAACACACAGAGGGCAGAAATTCTTGGCATTTTCCAGATGGAAATATCAGGGCTCAAAGACTGAAGGTATTGAGCAAATTCCACAAAGGTCACTGAGCTAAAGGATAGAACACCTGGGCTTGGAAATCCGAAGTTCTTTCTGGGTATTATGCTGTATCTTTTACATACTCTCCAAATAATGGCTTCTTGTTTGGAAAATAATTCAAAACAATGAAAACATAACATTTTAAATTTAGAGGCGCAATAGATAGCTCAATACACCCAGAAAGGTACAACACACCCAAAATTGTGCTTGTCATGTAGAAATTTTGGATGATTTATCAGTTTTTCCCTGTATATATTTTTTTGTGTCTTGATTAAGAATTTCTTGCCTACTCTGATACAAAAACAGGTTTGTTATTTGTTTTCTTAGAAAAATGTTTGAAATGTGGCTTTCCATATTTAGATATATATGTAGTATGAGGCATGGATATAGTTTTAGTTTTCCTTGATAGGTAGACCATTGTCTGATTTTCCTGCTAATAGTCACCTCTTTGCCTTAATAAGTGCTAAAATAAAAATGTTAAATGATCTGTATATGCTTATAATCTTAAATAGTTTTAAATTACCCACCTAAAATATCATTTGACTCTCAGCATTCATTTTAAACAAGTTGTCTTAAATTATCATGCTTCTCATCCTCACTATACCATAATCAACTATTTGAGTGTCTGTCTGGTATGGGTTTAAAATGTTTATTAGCATTTAAATTTATTCTCTTAAAAATGTTAATGTAGAAGATAGTGATGCCTTTCAAATCTCAAATAAAGTAATTAATAAAGAGCAGCTTTCCAGAATGAAAACCTGCTGCTTTTAACCAACTGCTTAATTTAAAATAAAAGAATAATTGGAAAATTTAAATTTTAAAATTTCAGGTCTTGTCTTTACTGTTTGCCACCTAGTCTGCTTGTATCTGTTTCATACTGGACACTTATCCCCTATATATTCTTAACCTTGCTGAGCCTCAGTTTCCCTTTATAAAGTAGAAATGTGTAGGTGCCTACTTCACAAAGATGATAGGGACAGAATTAACCTACATACAGTGCTTAGAATTGTGCCTAGCACATAGTAAATGTCTTGTTAATTTCATTCTTATGATATGCACATTCAAAAAATCTTTCTTCACCTGCCAAATTTTCTTTGTATCGATCTTTCAAAATTATGTCTATACTTTCTGTGTGATCTTAACAAATAATTTACCCAGCTTAACCAGAGAAGGACTCGTGGCAAAGCTTGTTTGTTTATTTTCATCCCATAATCAGGTCACTTCTGGATACAAAGCCAAGACGATTGTTACTGCACTGCCCGGATCTTTCCTGGACCCTTTGTTGTCACCGTCTCTTATGGAAGACTATGAGCTGAGGCAATTAGTCTTAGAAGTAATGCATAATCTTATGGATCGCCATGACAATAGGGCAAAGCTTCGAGGGATCAGGTGATGTATGATGTTCAAATGTGCTTACTGATAATGTTTTTATTTTCTAAATTAGTGTGTTTAAGTATTGTGGTTTTACTTTATGTAGGATTTTCAGTTTTTCTTTAAGTGACTTTCAAACAATTTATTAACTTATTTTATTTCCTTTTTTTCTTGATTTTTTATTTTTTTATTTGTTTTGTTTTGTTTTTTGAGACAGGGTCTCACTATGTAGTTGAGAATGACCTGGAACTCACTGTGTAGCCCCAGGCTGGTCTCGAACTCACACTGATTCTCCTGCCTCAGATTCCCAAATTCTGGGATTACAGGCATGCGCCACCATGCCTGGCTCTCTTGATTTTTGAGATAGAGGCTTACTATGTGGTCCAGGGTGGCCTCAAACTCACTGTGTATCCCAGGCTGGCCTTGAACCCTCAGTAGTTCTTCCACCTCTGCTTCCCCAGCATTGGGATCATAGGCATAACCCACTATGCCTGGCTACATTTATTAACATACTTAGAAACAAAAGATGTGTAGATGTCATTTAATATACTCTTTGGCGATCTCATCTACTAATAACCACTAATTACATGTATTTTTTGTTTTGTTTTAGTTTTGCTTTAAACTTAATGGCACTAGGAATCAAAATTGTGCAGTTCTTAACTAAACTTGGTAGTTCAGTAATATTATATAAACATTTAAAATGCTCATTGACACGAGTGTTAAATAGTTCAGACTTAGGAGTTTGTATGTAATTTTCTATTTAAGACTTAATATCGTAACCAACTGTGGTGTTCATTAAAGCATTATATATTGATTATCTCTAGAATAATACCAGATGTAGCAGACCTAAAGATAAAAAGAGAAAAAATTTGTAGGCAAGACACAAGTTTCATGAAAAAGGTAAGAACATTTTCTAGAAAATAAATGCATTAAGTATTCATTTCAGTTGTTAAATGGTTTTATATTGTACTGACCTACGACTTTAAAATGAAGTCATGGAATTCAGAGATGAAAGACTTCGTGCTTTCAGCTTGAGCTTCCCCTATATTACCACAGCAGTCCTGATGGTGTCCCCTCCAGCCTGTATTTAAACATTGGGTTCTTGTGCTACTGCAGTAGTTTTACATTTCTTCTGAATGAAGTGTTTCCCTATAATTCCTGCCCTGTCCTTCTTTCCCTACAAAACACACATACAGATCCCACTTTTAGTGAAATTGAAGCTCTTTTGTAGACAGCTTCACATTTTTGAAAACAGTCATCACCCTTGAATAAATAACTTTCATAACTGTTAACTGTTTAGTTGGCGTTGCTCTGTCTAGTACAGTACTTGGGATATTAAGATGCATCCATTAATCAGGATCACTGCCTTAACAAGTGTTATCTAGCTAGATTTCCATGATGATAATAGAAATGCTGCAGGTTTTTGGCAAATGGCTGAATTTCCAAAATGACAGTGTCCGAGATTTTTTTTTTGGTTTTTTAAGACAGGGTCTCACTATGTAGTTGAGACTGACCTACAACTTACTATGTAGCCCAGGCTGGTCTTGAACTTACAGCGATCCTCCTGCCTCAACCTCCCAAGTGCTAGGATTACAGGTGTTTGCCACCATGCCCGGCTATCCAAAATTATTTAGCATATCAAGGAAGCTTTCTGTGAAGTGACTAGTCACTCACAGGTTGAGAACAGTGTGGAGAGACAATAGCCATGACGTGTGCTAATGGAACTGCTGACCACACTCACAGTGCTAGATGAGGAAGCTGAACAGTATGCACATAGGAAGAGAGGCACAGACTGACCTAAGCTGTAGTCTTATTTGCCCTTTTTCCCAGTCTGTTCTTTGCCCTCAGCATCATTAACATTACTGTCTCTGATACTATGATTGATTGTTGTACTTCAGTGTAGCACTTTCACAGCTCAAAAAAATTTCATTTGAAAAATAATTTACAAGTTGTCCTTGTTCCTAAATTAATCTGATTCTTTGAATACATTTTTTTATAAGTTTTTGTATACTCTCTAAAAACTAGGAATAAAGCATACATTAACTCTTTGAGCTTTCTTCTTATTTGTTTAGTAGTTCTTTATAATACCTAGTTCATGAAAGAAGTTCCACATAAACTGTTAATCATGGCTAACATAATGACTTTGGAAAACTCAACTGACAGCCAGTTTTGGAGTTTTTTTTATATTACAAGATGACTTTAAACAATCATAAACTTTGGGACTGGATTTTATTTTGCCTGTTTTGACAGCGACAGAAGTGCTACTTCTTTGTGCATAATTTCTAGCCAACCAGTTTGAAAGGCTGTGGTTTAGCTGTAGGATTAGAATAGTACACTCAAATCCTTAAACTATTCTGACTTAATTCTCTTGTACTACCAGTGGCTTTCATTTTACTTTAAGATTTCATGAAATAAGATAGTTACTTTGTAGATGATTATATTGATATTAAATCTGCCTTTATTACATTTCATACGAAATTATCTTTTTCTTATCTTTCAGAATGGGCAACAGCTGTATCGGCACATATATTTGGGTTGTAAAGAGGAAGACAATGTTCAGAAAAACTATGAGCTACTTTATACTTCTCTTGCTCTTATAACTATTGAGCTGGCCAATGAAGAAGTGGTTATTGATCTTATTCGATTGGCCATTGCTTTACAGGTATGCATTTATAACATTTCATGGAAGAAAGCTTTTTATGAAGCAGATACCATCTTAAAGAGTAGTTGCCTCTGTTGAAAGGCATGAATTTTGGTTAGACAAGTGTCTAGTTTTGATCTAAAGTATTCAAGATCTACTCTTTTATAAAATGAACAGTGCATGTGCAAAATGTTCAAGGCTGTACTATGATGAAAAAGCAAAACATAGCTCTGGTACCATACTTTCAATCTAGTGAAAGAGTGATTAATAAATATGTATGACATAATGTTTAACTGGAATTGTGACATAATAAAAGGACAGTATCCATTAGCAAGCATGTGCTTTCTCTGTTTGTCTGAAAGGTATTTTGTACCTGTTGTATGTTTATATGAACAAGAAAGGCTTTTTGAGGCAAAGGCATATTTAATTAGAAAGATTTAACTGTTACAGATGAGCATTTATTGTTTTAGCATTTAAAAGAAATAATTTCTGGTAGCATAGTGTTGTTGTCATTCCAAACTACCTGCAGTTTTCCATTGTAGTTGTAGAGAAAACTACAGTTGATGGAGGGAGCATAAGAACTTAATGTCAGATGTATTTATTTTTCATTAAAGGACAGTGCAGTTATCAATGAGGATAATTTGCCAATGTTCCATCGTTGCGGAATCATGGCACTGGTTGCAGCATATCTCAACTTCGTAAGTCAGATGATAGCTGTTCCTGCATTTTGCCAGCATGTTAGCAAGGTAATGTGTTTAGAAAGCCTTAAAACTTACATTTTATATATAAATGACTAATTTTCTGGGCCAGGAATTTAGCTCAGTGGTTCTAGCACCTGCCTCACAAGCGCAAGGACCCAAGTTTAATCCCCAGTACAAAAAACAAAAAAGACTAATTTTCTTTTAGTGATGATTATTTTTAATTTTGATGATTATGTATCAAATTAATATAATTCTTAAATTGAAAGTACAGCTAAAACAATAGCAAATACTTTTGTATTTTATTTAATACTGTTTTATTAGAATTTTTATGAATATTAAGTAGAATACATAGTTTTTTTATATAATACCTTAAGTGATTTCTTCTTTACTTGTTTTCTTTGAGCCATTTGAGCCATGAATCTTAGTGTCTAAATTTTAATTTACACTATTTTGGTTGCTATTATTATTTTATTCTAGTATATTTGAGGCAGATCGCAAATATTGTTGCCTGTTTTTCAGTAATATCTATTTTTTTTTCAGCAATAACTCTTAGTTGCATGATTTAGTATGTCTGTCAAAGCCCCTAACTTACCTACCAGAAAACCAAGGATTTCGCTCCGTGGTTCCACCGCCTCCCGTACAAGCACAAGGGCCCGAGTTTGGATCCCTGGTACCAAAAATAAATAAATGAATAAACACTTGTCCCTTTTATGAAATTGAAAGCATATCTTTCAGTCCTTACTCAATTGTAGGTTTTTAATGCATTCTAATAAATACAACTCGTTCACTAAGTGAGCATTTGAGTTAGCATTTATTTGAGGCCTGCACTAGAGACACAGACAGTATGAAGGCAGAGCAGCCCTGTAAGCTGCTCAGAGGCCATGGTGGAGTCGAACCTCACACACAGAAGGGGACCTGGTGATTCCAAAGCAGTGCATTTGAGAAAATATGTTCTTCTTTAGAGTAGATTTAAGCAAATGCAATACATCATTTCTTAATCTTTATATTATTTGATTGTTGTGATTTTGTCTGCTAAATTTTTAGAATAATATGAAAACAAAATAATTCATATGTCTGGACTTGAAACTTAGCTTGAATTCCAAAATAAAATGATGTTATTTCATATAAGCCCTGAAAGATTGTTTCTGTTTTTTAGTTTTTTAAAAATTTATACAAGGTACTAAGGTGAGGTTTTTATTTTTACTTTGTTTTGTTTTTGGATATCTTTCAGGTTATTGAAATTCGAACTATAGAAGCTCCTTATTTTCTGCCAGAACATATTTTCAGAGATAAGTGCATGTATGTTAATTCATAACATTTTAAGGAAGGGCTGACAAGAGAAATCAATAATTATAAAAGAATAAAGCTATTGTTGTAGTTTTTTGTGCTTTAAAGTTATCATCACTTTCCATTTCTGTCATTTAATTGATCTTACTTTTTCCCTTTCTGTACAGATTTCTGCCCATTATAAATGTAGATTCCTGCATACATGGAGGCAATTTTGGAGAAAAATGAAAACAAGATTTATGCTTCTTTTTTGAGTTTGGAGATACATCTCCTAACTATGATGTTTTTAATGTCCTCATATATATTTTCTTGAACACTTCCAGTAATAGTTAGCAATACTCAAAATTAGGGCACCAAGACTGCTAAGTAAAAGCAGTGACCTATACCTTACATTCTTCCTTGTTCTGTAAAGAAGAAAAGGTGTAAATACTTTATTCAAACTTTTGTATTCTCAAAGAGGTTAATAGTCAGCATAGGGTAACATGAGGACTGTAAAAGAGAAACAGCCTCCTCTGGTTGGGCAAGTGCTTTCCATCACGTAGCTGGCTGACAAGGTTTTCATTAGCCATTAGTGAACTGCTTTTTTATTTTTTTTCCTCTCAGTAGATTTTTAATTAACATGAAAATGAAAATTGAATTTAGTGGTCTTCATCATCTCATCAAATATCAGAATATCAAATATCAGTTGACTTGGTTGAATTCACTATTTCAGATTAATTTATACTTAGAATATGGAGGCTTTTACTCCAGAACTGTTTTAAAAATTCATTTCTTTTTGCTTGGGAGCTAGTATTAAATGATTGTTGTTTTGATCCACCTGACAGGCTTCCAAAATCTTTAGAGAAGCATGGCAAAAATTTGTACTTTCTGACCAACAAGATAGCAGAGTCACTAGGTGGAAGCGGGTATGGTGTTGAGAGATTATCAGTACCATATGTCCCTCAAGTAACAGGTAAGAGGAAGAAAATTACAGCTCTTACTTTGCTGATTATATTTCATTATTTTTCTATGATTAGTAATAACAATTCTTGGTGTATACACTTAAAATAGCAGAGCTTTTTTTCAACTGCTTTTGAAAATCTTTAGTAAATCTCTAAAGCAGATAACTATTTTACTATAAGCAAGTCAAGTACTCAGAAGTTTATTAATATATTGCATTCATATATAACTGTTGTTCTTAATATATTTATATTTAATGTAGAGTTATGCCTGATATCCTTTAAACAAAGAAGCAAAGTGAACTTTTATTAAGCAACATTATATGTGACTTACAGAATTGTATAATAAGTGATTTGTATTTACTGAGTTGGATGAATTAAGAAACTTGTCATTTGGAAGTGTACAGACTTTAAAAAAAAAAAAGAGTATAGTCTTCTGTATAAAAAAACCTGCAGACTTTTTTGGTTTGGGCTGCTCTTCTCTTGCTCTTGTTCTTCTTCTTGTTTTTGTTTTTTGAGGCAGACTCTCTATATTCCAGGCTGGCCTCAAATTTGCATTCTTCTCACCTCAGCTTCACAGAGTGCTGGGATTAAGTTGTGTAACACCATCCCTGACTCTCCAAGCTTTTCATGTTAGGGTCTTTTTTCCTTTGTGACTCTTTCTGCTCTGTCCATTACCTGAAATAACTCTGGTGTATTTGAAGGGGAAATGCATGATATCTTTCATTTGATTTTTATTTTAAAAATTAAAATCGAAGAGCTTCTTGCAATCTCATTTTTAGTTGATGATTACATGAATATTAAATTTGGTGGACGAGCTAGTTCTTCCTTGAGGATACTTCTGTTCTGTAGGACTGTTTGATACAGTTAGATAATTTTCTAGATTAACTACTAAAAGTAGTACACTCTTCATAAATATCTTTTCTAAAAGGTGGATTCAAAGTAAGTACTTTTCTTATAATGATAGCTACAATAGCCTGAGTTGTTAATATAAATGCTCTTAGATTTTCAAATATCATACTATGAAAGATTCCGTTTCTCATTATTTCCGTGTGGAAATAATACTAAAAATAAAACATAAGTAAAGCTTTGTAATTTTAAGTGTTTTTTAAAAGACTTTGAAAGTGTTACATTCTTATAATTTGGACTTAGGTCTTTTTCCTTCAGGCAAAAAAACTCATAAACCCAAGCAGAAGTACAAAGGTAAATGTGGCTGCCCTTCCCTCACCTCTTCTCTAGGAAAGTAGCTTCATCAAATGTGCCTTTTAATGGAGCTAGTGGCTTGCATATTTTACTTAGTTGTAAGTTGAGTTATTTGCTTTACTTTCCCTAACAGCATAGTTTATTTTCATTGTTCTGCTGTTTCCTTTTACCCTGTTCCTTTAGCTTAGTGTTTAATGAAAGTTCTGGTACTTACGTAGATGATTTGCTCTTCTTCAGTTCCCTAACCCTAAAACAGATGTCTTTTTCTGGTGCATCTGTCATACACTGGAAAAATTTCAGTGTTTCGGAGTGTACTTAAACAGATTACTGCACAGAAATCCCTAAGTGTGAGTAAGATATTTTGGATTTATAAGCTAGTTTAGAGCCAGTCTGTGGCAGTTGTATACTGCTGTCATGCAGGAGTCAGCAGAAGCAGTGATACTTTATGGGCTAGTCAGTCAGTTACTGAACTTTAATTTTTTAAAATTTTTGCCTGTTTTTCTTTTGTGCAGGTGTGGGTGATGTGATTGGGTTTAAGGAAGGAAGGAAATAAGTGTGTATTTCAGCTGTAACAGTGCATAGGAGTTTTGAATCTGGAATCATAGAGGATGGAATTTTTATTAACAGGAACAAACAGGGAAGAAAGCCTACTTTGGGAAATCAAACTTTTGTTGAGCATCTTTGATGCTGGACATCTGAGGAAAGTACTTTTCAGACAGTTGAGAGTCATTGCTGGGATTCATTTGAGTTAAGAGGACATAATGAAGACTTTGAAGTCAGCAGCATAGCAGATTGTGCTAAAACTTTAGGAAAGAGAACCGCTCCAAATGAAGCCTAAAGACACGAAAGATAGAATAGCTTTATAGAATTCCCTTTTCCTTAGGTAGATAATGTTAGGAAAGAGCCTAGTACTCAGGTTCGACTAGAATATAAAAGAACAGGGTAATTTACTCTTAAAGGCAATAGTTTATTCTAGAAGATAATGAAGTACTGCTGTAGCATGGATACATGGGAGATTGGGACAGGAGAAGACAGAAAAAAAGAAGCTTCGGGAAGCTTTGAAAAAGGGAAAGCAACTTGTCACAAATGAGTAAGCTTCACGAAAGCTGAGACTTGATGAAGACATTTGGAGGTGAATTGATAGGCTCTGAGAACAGGAGCCGACCTGGCGTCATTATGACCTCTTCTAAGTTCTCACCTGCCTCATGGGAAGCACTGCAGACCTTGTCTTTACAGATTCCTCTCCCCCATGTAGTTCTGAGTTGGATATTGAGAGGAAAAGCACTCAGTTTCTAGGAGAGGAGAAGAAATATTATCTTTCAAAGAATAGTGTGACCATCCAAATGGGCAGACTAGACCTGAAGGTTCCTTGAATGCTTTTTGAGGCTCGCCTTTTCCATGCTGCAGGCTGAAAATGATAGCACTCCTGAGTTGCTCACTCAGCTTTACCAAGGTTTGAGCAAGCCTCTAATTCTGTGCATCAGAATATGCAAAGTAGCTTTTAAAAATGTAACTAATTATTATTTTTCTAATATCTCGTACTTGTCCTTCATACTTTATTATTTATGTAATTTTGTTGATTTTTTTCCATCTTCCTATTGGACTGTAAGCTCTATGAGGATATAGACTGTGTTCAGCATGCTTTCTAATCACTTAATAGATTTGTTGACTATATTGAATGCTGAAGTAGAAAAGAATTTGTAAAGGGAGATTTTAATCAATAAATTCAAATTTCTGTGAAGTAGTTAAGCAGAAAGTGAGCCTAGGAATAGCTATAGAATTGAGTGCTTTTAAAGACAAGAATGATTGGGGGTGAGATAATTATAGGACTTTAGAGGATTTAATAATGAAAAATCAGAGCAGTTGGATCAGATTATTGCCAAGAAGTTTGCAAAAGTAGGTTAGCAGAGCACTTAGGTAAAACAGGAATGTTTTTAGAGTTATAAAGCATAAGATCAAATAAGTGAATCTGTAAGACAATATGTTAAGTAACATAAACTGGAAAGGGAAATACTGGATGATCTCACTAAAAACATTGATACGATAGAAGGAAAGAGTAGAATGGTGCTTACCAGAGGCTTGAGGAAGAGCAGGAGAGGACAGGCAAAGAGAAAAGTTGGTCAGCATGTAGAAAGGTTCAGTTCAATAGGAATAAGTTCTGGTGTTCTATTGCATAGCGTGGTAGCTGTAGTAATAATATCTATTTCAACATGAATAAAAATAGAAGTTTAAATATTCTCACCCCAAAAGTGATAAATATTTGAGGTGATAGATAACACTAATTAGCCTGATTTGATCATTCCACAACGTATACATGTATTAAGACAACATTGTAAGTATATACAATTATTATTAAAAATAAAACTTTTTAAAAATTCCAGAGTACACTGCTTTATATGCTTATATATTTTGAAAGATCAAAAAGTTAAATTGTCCTAATTTTCTGAAACTTTAAAACCTCATGGAAGTAGTGTTTATAACAAATAATGGAGAGTTTTTTTTTTATTCTAGATGAAGATCGCCTTTCTAGGAGGAAAAGTATTGTGGACACTGTATCGATCCAGGTGGATATTTTACCCAACAACGTTCCCTCTGACGATGTAAGTTGCTGGGAATTTCTAGTAGAGTACTGTCTTGAGGTGGACATTGTTTAAGATAAATTTGTGACCTCCACACTTGCAAGTGAGAGAAACTACAACTTTAAAGCTTTTTTTTTTTTTTTTTT